ATTGAGGTGAAGTGTGGTGAGTGTCTGTAGGTGTGAGATAGACTGAGTGCTTCATCTTCTATTAAATGAGATCAATATTACCGTATTCGTTCGCAACGCATCCGCAATGTGTTGTGCTCCTGCAGCACCGATTCTGTTGTAACTGAGGTTTAGTGTGGTGAGTGTCTGTAGTTGTGATATAGACTGAATGCTTCATCTTCTATTAAATGAGATCAATATTACCGTATTCGTTCGGAACCCATCCGCAATGTGCTGTGCTACTCCGGCACCGATTTCGTTCCAACTGAGGTCTAGTGTAGTGAGTGTCTGTAGGTGTGAGATAGACTGAGTGCTTCATCTTCTATTAAATGAGATCAATATTACCGTATTCGTTCGCAACACATCCGCGATGTGTTGTGCTCCTTCAGCACCGATTCCGATCCCGCTGAGGTTTAGTGTAGTGAGTGTCTACATGAAAACAATATATTATGAAAAGGACAAATACCAAAGAGAGCCTTGGATGACACGTCGGATTGTATATGTGTGATATGAAATTGTCATGTTTGGGGACGCTGTTTAGAGAGCAGTTAGATCTAGATATCAGTTTTTTGCCGTGGATGATGATGGTAGTTGTGGCGCAGGAAAGACTGCGTTCAGAGAAGAAGTGCTGTGTTGGCAATATGGACATGAGATTACCGTGAGCTGATCGAGTGGAAAGAGTCGGATTTAGTAACTATTAACAGTTATTGATTGTAGTGAGATATCTCTTTTAAGAGCACCCTCCAAGGAAATTGACATCGTACTTTTGTGATATGTGGGAGTCTGATTGTGTGTATGTGTGTGAGGGTGAGAATGAATATAGGCATAGGTCCAGAAATTGCGAAAGCTAGTTTGCTTCGTTTGGGAGGTTTCATCAAGAGTGATATTTGATGCACTCTTATATCGAATAATTCAATATACATAGGAGAAAGGCGAGAGACTGGAGGAATGCTTGATTTCATATGGCTTCGCACTTTGATTGTGTGATTCGATCAAATTATTTGTGGATTATGAGATTACTTTCCTCGTCCTATGAGGAAATTTACGGGTGAAATATCATTGGGCTTATGTGTACCACACCCTCAAGAGTGTTAAGATGCCAAGTAAACTTACTCGATATCGCTCATAGGTGCTCAGGATCTGATTGAGCCGCCGGGAAATATTTTGCATCGAACAAAATAGCGTCCGCTCATTTTGATGATCCATAATTCGATAAACTAGTTCGATGGGTAATGTTGAAAATGTGTGCATGTTGTATTTCAGTCGTGCAGCAGACCGTACTGTGGAGACTGGAAGCGATGAAAAATGTTTTACTTTGTTCGTTATTAGTAGTAACTCATGGTGGTGATGTATTTATATATGTTTCTGACGAAAACAAATGACGTGTAACCATTTCAATAGCTACGAATTGTTGGCGTGCGCAGAAAGGTGGCGTTAGAATACGCATGCTCATTGAATTCTGTTTTCACAGATACAGTGGTAAATTAAAAAATTGAAAACAGGACATCTTTTATGATTTTGGCTCCTTTGGAAACCGATTCTATTTCCATCAAAAGGAATTAACATCTCTAAATTAATTTTTTTAACTAAAAGTTGTAATGAAATATGAAAAACTCTACAGCTTAGATTAGAGATTCATCTTAATTATATGTATGTTTTGTCTTCGAGAACACTAAATGTTACCCAGTCAGTTTTCACTGATTGTTTTGCAACATTTGACGTTTTTTCAGTTAAAAACAAACAGATGATTATAATAAGTTGGATGATATAGTTTGCTGATAGAGCTTCATGCAGCATCCCTCAGCGTGTTTGTTTCATTTTTTCAAATCTTATTCGATGATAGATAAAACAAAAACAAAAAATGATTGTTTCTCAACCTGAAAAAAACAGTCACATGATCTTTTATTTCTTTTTAAAGCCAAAAACTATCAAATTGAGCTACGGTTTACCGCAGAGGTGACGTTAAGTAGAACATTTAAAGTTAAGTTAAATTGCTATCCCTAAGCTGCGTATCTGGTTTTTCGTGTTGAAGGTTGAGTTAGAACATTCATTATCTTTCATATAAATAGAATGACAGCTCCCTCATCGAGGTGCTCTAACAATTTGCTGTCAATTCATTTTAATGAATTAATTATCCTACGGTATTTTAATAAATAAGAAAACGTGGAAAACCTTCGAAACACCAAATTTTATCAATCCTCTGAGAAAACAAGACGTTTAGCTTATTGGAGAAGTTTAACCGCTTTTCAATATCCCTAAAGAGGCGGTTTTAACGATAGTTATGAAATCCGAAAGAACGCTGTAGTATCTTACTTTAAAACATCCATAGTCCTGCTATCAGCTAACTTCCGATTAATTTTTTACAATATAATAACTGTGATATACAAATGCGAGCAGTTACAACGAAGGGCAAAAATAGTACTTGATGTATTATTTGGCTGTGAAGGATAGTATTTTATATAAAGCGTGCTATGTTATATCGGTTTCATAATATTTTACTCTATGCTTTCTGCAATAAATTATGAAACGAATGGAACTACATTGTTCTAGTACTTCAGCATTGGTTTTCCTTTGCTGAAACACAGACTGCCTATGTGATTTGCCTGAAAATCTATTTTATTCCTTAATTGATGCGCATTCATAGTCCCTCTTACTAAAATTATTTTCGACGATTTGATTTCACTGGTAGCATGAACCCTTTGGGAACAGGATTATTTTTAATAGAGCAAACAAGACTTTACACACTTTGGTGGGTGCAAGAGACAATGTGTGCGAAGATAAATAAAAATAGACGATAAATGATAGCAGTGGACTATGACATAGCGAAAAATTAGAAGTGATGAATATAACTACAAAAAGAAAAAAGATGAGGTCACTATACGAATGATAGTATAATGCATTAACGATATATATAGCGACATAGATCATTAAAATATCGTGAACAGTATACGGAAATAAAATATGAGTTATTTCAACCCAGACGAATACATACGTCGTCCGTTCTCAGAGGGTTAAAAACATACAACATGGGATGAATCCAACACATCTCATAAATGAAATTTCATGAATATTGGATATTACGAAACATCAGGTGTTATTACCCGTAGTTTCTCAATCACATATCGTGTATATACGTTATCCTTTGACTTTGGAAAGCTTTGATTTATTGACAATATACTTACAAATACCGTGTTCATTTACGTTATTGAGCTATATGTAGCTGACTGGACGTCATTTGAATATATTCTTTTTTCTTAGAATAGCTAAAGCTTTTCCATTGGTAAAAAAACCTTTTGTATTGAGAATACTACTCGGCAGTCAAATAATGTGGAGAAATCATCTGGTAGTAATTCAGTCGAATGAAATCGTTCAATAGCATCATCTTACCTGACTTGAGATTGGAACAACTGATATTACTTATATCTGTTGGCTTGAAAGATCATAATGCATATTTTCCTTTATTGTAAATTAGTTTTCATTGAATGTGTTTGCCAATCTGAGTCAAAAATAAACTTAATTGTTTCGTTTGCTACTACCAACAAGTAGCGCTCATCTGTTGGATTCGCTGACCCTGTTCTGAAAGAATTACAAGACTCAGATAAAAACTCTAACGTATATCTCACTCTAACGCGCTTCGAATTAAAACCACTTTTATGCCTATTCTTTTCTTTTAATCCTTTTCTACTTTATTCATGCCAAACTGCTTTCAATTCATTTGTCCAAAGACATGAGCAAAAGGAACACTGTTTCTAAAGATTTACGAATCGACTCTCTTCCCACTATTTACAATCAAAAATCAATTTACTTACACTTATTTTATCTCTTCTAGGCCACCAAAACAAACTCCTGGTCGCTCGTCGGTCTACCTCTCGCGGCTAGCCGTTACATGTCCAACTTTCATTCTTTCATCTAGCTTAAATTCCCTTCAGTAATGTTATCAATATGCTGATGAGTATGAGTATCCAGCAGGCGGACGTTAATCAGCTATTTCGTTTTGTTCTACATATTGCTGCTTCAAACACTATCGCCCACAAAAAATCTTCCTTGCAAAAAATCGTACTTTTTCTAAAAAACAGAACAAAATTTTTCTACAGAAAAACTAACATCGGATTCGATATCTTCGACCCCGATTACCCTTCGGTCAACCGTTACTCGACAACTAAAAAGATTTTCATTCTTTAATCAGTAATTAGCTAATTAGGTAATTGGAATTTCGAAAAAGTAACATCAGATTTGTAATCCTCGACCTCGGTTATCTCATCAGTGGTCAATCTTTGATGATTATAGATAAATTTCATTGATTAGTAATATGCTGCAATCTGATTGGATTATGCAAACAAACAAACTTTATGCATTTTCACGACTGTATTTATGTCGCTATAACCCTTTCTTTCAGAAAAGGGAATAATACGCATTTTTGTACGCATAAACTTTGAATGTTGGAAGACAAATTGAGATGATGAACGTGATACTTAACATAATCGACACATACGTAAACATGGAGTTATTTGGACATATTATTGAATGCATGAAATCTTTTTTATTTCACTTTCTGTATCACGAATTGAGCGAATTCGTTTTTGGCCACGATCTGCATGACAATCTTCAATTTCAGGAACATTTTCGTTCGAAACTAGTCCGAGATAAGAATATTCGCCGTCTTCATCGGTTTGAGCCATTTCATTTGACTCGCTTGATTCTTGAATTGTTCCTGTCAATTTACAAATCGTTTCTTTCAACTGACGATTGTCTTCTTCCAATTGGCGATTCGCTTTCTCTAACCTTTCGATCATTCGATGCATCTCGTGGAGACTTTCTTCTAGTTTATTTATTTTTCCTTGTTGGTCATTGAAACGTTGTATCCATTCTTTATTGGATATTGTCAATTCATCCTCCAAATCAACGACTTATTTCCGTTTCTTCGGTGGTTGATTCTAAAATGGTGGATAATTTGTTGATGGAATAACACCCAGATTATTATGGCACGGTCGGTTCCAGCCGGTTAGGTTCGTTTTCCGACCATTTCCTTGCCGCCGGATTCCGGCAGGAAGTTCAAGCATAGGTTCCAGTAATTTCCTGACCGTTTCCTGCAAACTTCGACCTGGCAGAAGTCGAAAAAATTAGTTTATGTTTACTTCATTATTGCTCAGATTTTCACAGTGAAGAGAATCTGAACTGGTCATATTAAGTCGTTTAAAAGGATAAAATTATTTCTTATACAAAAGAATTCATCACGTTTTATATTGAGAAGTTAACCAAAAGAACGGATACAGCCAATTCTAATCGTGAGAATGAACTTAGACCCCTTTCACTCCGAAGAAATGACGAGCTAATATAACGAAAATAGAAAACAACGAAGTATTTATAATTGGATCTTTTTAGTATATTTAATCATCACATATGGCGACATCTTTTGTATTTAAGCTATGAATCATATAGTTCTCTCCCTTGATTAGGATGACCAGCTATAAATCTCAGATGTCAATGCTAAGAATGAACTTCATTGTAAGAAATTCTCATATTCATCTAGATTCAAGATAGCTAAGCAGCATTCAATATACAATTTCAAAACTGATTTATTAGTCAGTCTTAATCTTAATCCCCTAGAGAAAACATCAGTGTGAAGCTAGCACGAAGGAGCTACCACGAAGAAACTGTGTGTAAGCTAAAAATTTTTTTCCAAAGTTTGTCCGGTTCATAAAACCTAGTTCATTCGATTCAGAATTTAATTCTGCATCAAATGGTGGTATTTTTATTCACCGGACAAACTTTGGAAAAAAGTTTAACCACATCTTTGTTTGCCTCATATAGGTCTATTTATGTTTCCGATAATTTTTTTCCAAAGTTTGTCCGGTGAATAAAAATACCACCATTCGATGCAGAATTAAATTCTGAATCGAATGAACTAGGTTTTATGAACCGGGCAAACTTTGGAAAAAATTTTTTAGCTTACACACAGTTTCTTCGTGGTAGCTCCTTCGTGCTAGCTTCACACTGATAGAGAAAACTTATTTGGAATGAAAACGTGTGACTGAAACTGCTTATATATTGGTTATCTTTTAGTTTTTTTTGTCCGATTTTCGTACGATGTATAAGTAATATTTATTGATCTTTGAAATATATGTATGTGTATATTATTTATCATTCATATTATAAGACAAACACACCCAATCAAAAGTCAGATATAAGAAAAAGAAAAGGAAAAAGAAAAATATAAAGTGAATCTAATGTATAGTTCCATTTGATTGTTGTTTTCTATTTCTCTGTGCTGCAGCAACTTGTTCTTCTTGCTGAAGACAGTCGGCGAATACTTGTAAGCGTGTTTGTAATTCAGTCAATGCTTGTTGACGTTGAAGTAAATTTTCTCGCATTTGATTAACAAATTTTTCTTGATCATAGTCGACCGTCTCTTGTGCTTGTTTAACGATTGCACGCAATTGTTTCGTTAATATGGGCTCTTTATTCGTAAGGACATCTTGGCAAGAATCGAACAAAGCGTCTTCATATTCTTGTAAATGTTCAACTTGTGCTGCATATGAAGCGGATGCTTCATCTTGTTCTTCGTCGTCATATAGATCGTTCGAAGATGAACTTGTACTATCATTTGACGATGCAGATCCATCATGATGATGAGGATAATGACTGTGATGATGACGGCGCTTATTTTCTTTGTCATCATCTATTGGCAACGCTAAACGAAGCGGAAATTATCAGGTAATGTGAGATGAAACAGATCTTAGCAAACCTTTTGACATGCCGTCCATTTTTATTTCATCGTCATCATTGGACAAACCCGCACCATTATTTCCAGCTCGTAGTTCTTTCACTCGATCTGCATAGCGTAATGTATTCATCGTGTTTTCAACATCGGAATGTGTTGGTGAAACCATTGCGATCATACACACTTTGGATTTATCACCAATAAACGAATCACGTAAGACTTTTGTTAATGTTGAACCACGAAATGGTACATGACTACCATCACCACGACCCAATGCACGAATACATTCTTTTAATGCTAGTAAAGACTTGTTGATTTCTGAGCCTTCCATTCGTTGAAGACGATCACCACTTGCCGTATCTTTACCGCGTTCCGAACCAGCCAAATCGATCAATGACATTTTACCAACTTCTTTCATTGGACGACGTAATACAGCTGGATTATTATGATTGTTATTTCGTGACGATCCTGATACACTTGAAGTAACCGAAGCAGTTGACGCTGTTTTAAGAATAATCTGAAGAACCGCATGTGAACGAGAAGAATTAGCGTTGGCAGCTGTTGTACCCGATGTTCGAATACTCATACCATCTGAACAATATGCATTCGAATCAAGTGTTTGGCAGAAGAATGAGTTCACTTACGTTGAATGATGTTTAATACATCCTGAACAGATTTGACTTGTTGCTCTTTTCGATCACATACTTGAACAAGACCTTTTTGATCTTCTAGGACACGGAGACGTTTTTTGTTATTGAGTAAATCAAACACTTTGCCACAATAAATTTCATAGAACGTAACAAAAGTTTCCACAGATGTTCGATATTGTGGTAACGATAGACGATGAAATATATCACGCGCTGTTTGAGCATAAATACCATGTGAATAATCCGTCTTAGCCGATTGTAAATCACCACCCATTGTGAATGTTTTACCTAAATTCAAAAAACGATATTTAAAAAAACGTTTTGTGACGAACCGAATTGACAAACCAGATCCTGTTTGACCATAAGCAAAGACAGTTGCATTTCCACCATTAAAAACTGTATCGATTAATGGTGCCGCTGTACAACGATAAACCAATTCATTGGAAGCTTTTTCATCGAAAGTATAATCGAATCTAAAATCGAAGGAATTACCGACTGGCATTGCTTAAGAATAAAGAATTTCTTACTTGAATGTTTGATTGTCTAGATATTTAGTTAAATCAACTTTCAATTTTGGCACATGAACGAGACAATGATCTCTATTTGGAATGGTAATCACATCGTTATCTTTCTTCGCAATTTCACGTTTATTCAATGGACGTTTTCGAACAGCAACGCAAATACGTAGATCTTTTTGATTGATTTGTTGTTGATTCATATTTGCATTTGTTGTGGGACAATAAGTTAATGTAGAACGATAATCGAGAATCATCTGTCCAAACGGACCGTGTAGGCCAATGGATGAAGGTGGTTCAGGCACAGGCGGTGCAACATTGCTGTTTGTGTTTGTTGACGATGATTGTTGTACAACATGAAGACGAGAAAGACGACGTTCAGTTTTGTTATTTGCTGGTGGTGGAATCTGTAGTTGTGGCTGAGGTGGTTGTTGTTCAACAGTGGGAGTTGGAGGTGGAATGGGAGAGGAAGGTGTTGCTATTTTCGATATCGACGGTGCTGTTGATTGAGGAGCAGCAGGACGACGAATCGAACGAACGGCTGATGAATTATTTGTTCCGGATGGTATATAGCTTGTTTTTGGATGATGCGAAGTGGATGTAACAGTTCTGAAACAGTGACAAATTCAGGTAAATGGCAACACACGATAGGATCGATATAAACGTACCCGTTAAGTGGTGGTGGAGGAAGTGGCGTGGAAGTTGTTTGAATAGACACTGGATGTTGCTGGATTTTTTGCATCAATTGTGGCGGAAGCGTCGGTGGTGGGCGTGAATTATATTCACGTTCTAGTGTATCGATGTCTAATGTTAGTCGACTAGATGATAAACCACTAGAAGGAAGTGTTGCAACGGCTGCCGTTGGTCGAACTTGTTGATTTGTAATTGGTGCTGGTTGTTTAAATACTGCGTTTGGACGTAACTCACTATTAAGCTCGAAGACAAGATCGAGTAGAATTTCTTTGCCTTTCACTTCGCCATTCTCATTCCATTCGACACCGACTGATTTCGACTCTGGTGATAGTTGAACAACTTTTGCTAAATGTACTCGACCATCAGATCGTTTTATTTTAATGGATGTTGATACTTGAATAAGACCAAACAATGGATCTACTGTTGTAGACATTGTTTTTTCTTCTTAAATAATCTTAAATATAAAAAAGAGAAAAACACATGTTTCGTCGTTGTAAACATCGACATTAATTCTATTTGTTTTTTCATCAAAATGAAAGATCAAAAGCGGAGAAAAACTAATTATCCTGATTGGTCTAACGAAAATAGAATCAAGCAAAGCAAATAAAAATGCTCTTACTTTATAACTTGCAATGTAAAGGAAACGTTCACAGTTGATTTCATTCACTAGTTTAATGAGAATAGCGATGGTATTTTTGTAGTTATGAATACTTTCTTTAGCAGACAATGTCGCACATATGACTAACAACTGAATAACGGGAAAAAAAGAAAAAGATGAAGGCAAAATAAGCAGATAGAAAGGAATATGAGAAGGGAAAACAGCCGAGAGACGAATGACGACAATTGCGTGCGCTAGCTGTAGTGTTCAATGTTTTCTTTTGCTTTTCTCTCTCTCGCGCGAAGAAAAATAAGTCGAAAGAGAAGCAGAAGAAGAAGAAGAATCAACTTATTTTCAGCGTCAGCGTGGGTTGACCTTAGAATGTGCGCATAGATGTATATATAAGAAAAAAGAATGATTTCAGTTTGAAACGGAGAAAACCTAGACGAATCATTGAAGGTGAAATGAAGGAAATTTGATTGACCTTGTGAACGAAATAGAAAAGTATGATGTTCTATGCAGATCGTCTCTTTTTTTCGCGAATACGATGCTTATTCCTATGTAGAAACACAACAAAGATTGCATTTTAGATACACGGGAGACTTGGAAACTAATTCATTCGATATTTCTCGTTCTTCTGTCTGCTTGTTTTCTTTGCTAGACGAATGAATCATCGCCAATCTTTGTTCATCGCGTACCTAGTGCACGCTTTCATTGGTGACTGAAATCATTCTTCTGCAGTGCAATTTGAATTGGTTCACAATGGTTAGAATAATAACGATCGATTTCAGATCGAATCAGTTTTGAGAATTGATTTAATGCGTTAGATTATTCAATGATATGCAGACTGGCACTAATGCCTCACAAAATAGTGATCTTACTCAAGCTTAAGTAATGAAATGGATGTAAAAAATACAGAGAACAAATAATTTATAATGTTATAGACAAAATAAGCAGTGTTGTCTTTGGTGCACGATTCGCAGCTGAGCCATATATGCGAATAAATTCTCATCAACAGTCAGAACTTTCATTTTCTTTTCTATTTCCAATGAGAATCGGGTTATACGAACTGTAATAAATGACAACTTTTATCAGTATCTCAGGTTACGTAGCTTGCAGGACTACTACTGAATTACATTGAAACTCTTTTTGAAAAAACTTTATAGTATGAACGGCTTTCTTCTAGCCATTTATTTTCGATTCACTGCTCATAACACGAGAAAGACTGAAAGAATAAAAGAGAAAGAGTAGATAAATGTGTCTTCTATCTAGAATGGAATATGCAAGTCCGAATCTCACCGTAATTCCTGATAGAAAGACGAGCGAACCGTCACTTCTTTAGTAGAGCATCATATTCAGAGTGATTTTTTTCTCAAAAAGCTTTCGTTTCATACAAAAAGAACATTGGACGAACAGAGCATCGATCCACTGATGCAACGCCATTAAAACTAAATCATTAAGAGACCAACTTCAATGTTCGACAAATCGACGCTATTACACGTAATTATTGCGTAAAGAAACGATAAAACCTTTTGTAATCGCTACATTTAGATAAATAAACACTTGATTATGATGTTTTCATCTTATGTTGGCATTCATACCGTTTGAAACACGCTCGCGTAGTATTATAAATTTCCAGAATTACGAGCCTATAACACTCATTCTCTCGAACATAGGTCGAAGAAGCGATGCGAATAACAACACTATAAAGAATAATGACTTGTTTTCTAAAATCTTTAGAGTAGAATTCAGCAAATAATTCAAGTATACGAAATATGTTGGAAGTTTCTGCAACATAATAAAAACATTTTTGATTTGAACAATTTTTCAAGCAAAGACAAAAAGAAATCAAAGATGCCTGGAAAAAAGTGGAGAATGAGGGTGTGAGGTCATTAAGAGGTCTGATGGGAGAGAGAATCCATTCTTTTCCCTTATATTCATTTATCGTCAAAAGATTCAACCAATAACGCGTCCACGTTTCTGTTCATACAAAGATTTGAGCACTAAAACAAAAAAGGGTCAGTAAGGACATTGGAAAAGAATGTTCTCTCTCCGAGTTCAAATGCGGTCACCGTATCATTCGTTGGGGGTATAAATAGAGGAGTGTCCATAGGTAATTTTCATTCTTATACTTTTCTTTTTATCAAACTACGACGTTGAATAAGACAGATAAGGTGAGTGCAACAGAACTTTTGGACGTTATGTTTTATACTCGGTGTTGGAGATGCATTGAGAAACAAATTATTAACCGAATCTGCTTTTCTTCTATTCGAAGGAATTTATCTACTATCATAATAGTTAATTTCAATCAAGATGACACAAAACATTAAAAAGGCACAATCGGTTGGTTTGAATGATAAATTTGATAAGCATGCCAACACAACCAAAGGCTTGGTTTCAAACAATTCGTGCGTAACAGATGTAAGTGGTGTAGACTCGACTTTTCTCTGCTATTCAAACATAACCATATGTTTTTACTTGTTTTCTTCCATTTATCTTTCCAGTACATGTAAATGCTCACTTCTGTTAATCATCTTCATTATGCATAGTGCTACCCAGGAAGAAGTATGATCGTCTTATTTTCGTATTTCTCATAGACGTCTCAATTTTTCGTTTAATACAGCATATACTGAGATACATTCGAAGAGAAATCGCGATTATAATATAGCTACTTTAATTAGACAGGATGAAACATTACCACGACGTCTTACATTCGCTAAGTCGAAAGAAAAAATAACATCGCTTCTATATACGCCTTGCAGATCTCTGATGGTTTGAGTAGACTATGTCATACTCTTTTGTTTCATATATTCATCACTAGTTTGATTACTCGTCTAGCATACTTGTTATTGAACGGTTCTTTTGACATTCACTCATAATTTCATACAGGAAACAACTCCAGCGCAACTGTTCGATAAAGTTTGGAAGGAAAACATATACAAAGGTTTCAGTCATCAGACGCCTGGCGAAAGCAAAACGCCTTTCTTGGACACTTTTATTGAACAATTACCAACAGATGGTTGTCGTGTTGTCGAACTCGGTGCTGGTTCGTATGATCATGCCTTTCGCATGGCCAAGGAAGATATCATCATTGAACATGTGACTGCTGTCGAATATAGTGAAACGGCAGTTGAATCAGCTCGTCAACGATCGGTTGCACTAGATGCTGGTGTTCAATCTCGACTTAGTATTGAATGCAATGACTTGTTCACATTCATGAACAAGCTCGAAGCTGATTCTATCCATGGTATATATGCCAATTCTGTTCTCCATTTTCTTACACCACAAGAACGTGAAGATGTCTATCGAAAAGCATACAAAGCACTGATTGCTGGTGGTATTGTTGCTGTCTCATTCAAGATGAGAGGTGATGCATTACACAAACGTGGCACCTTAGTCGAAGAAACGGCAGCTGGTGCTCTTGTTCGCGACAATACGGATAATATTTGTCGTTTATTTGTTTCACCAACAGGTATCGATGTCTTAGCAGATGAATTGCGATCGACTGGATTTCATATCACCACAATCATTCAATGGGCTGTTCCAAATTACAACATCGATGGCGACGATGGTAAATTTGTTGGCCTTGTTGCTGCTCGTTGAACAAAATAATCGATCATATCATGACTCATCTAGATATTTGTGTGTAGTGTGTGCATATATATATATTGTCGTGATTAGTTAGTTGTTTGTATATTTGTTCTCTTTAGTGAATTTATGATAATAAATGATAAACTAGTAGAATATATTCAGCAATAGACTTGCGCATGGTGATACGTGTACAATTTTAATGAAACTATAGTTTATTTGATTAGAACAATTGTTCTACAGATGTGAGGAGAATTCTTGTCAATATGCATATTATCCTTCCAAGAGCTTTTTCGCATTTGTCCGTGGAAAGTATTTTTATGTTCACCTTCATAAAAATCTCTATTCAGCCAAGAATAAACTTCACGATTATTCCCCATGTTATTATTCCACTCTCCCGTATATCTGTCTCCATTCAAGAAATAACATAATATGATGTTTCGCCTTGTTTTAGGTAGCTCGACATCGCCAACTGATAACAGTTTAGCCTAAGCCATTTCTGAAGGGAAAATAACGAGAAGGACGTTAAATATCAAATCAAACCGTGCGCTAGGATTATATACCTATATTATTTTTTGTGATTTCTTTTAAATGCACAACATGTAGTCCGCCAATTTGATCGAGGTCACTGCTTACCACGCGAAACTGAGTGCCTGGGGCCGAGCAAAACCTCACCTTCGTTTGGATAATTAGTATAATCTGAAACATCTTTTCCATTCTTAGTCTCAATCAAGAAATTTAACAATATGGAGAGATGCTAAACAAGAATTCACATTCCACTGTGTAGTTCCTTGATTGTCTTTAAAATGATCACTAGTATTAAAAGTCACTCCTCGCCAAGTAACTTTTTAAAAAGCTTGGTAATTTTCTAAGTGTTGTACCAAATAATTTCAAAAACGAAAACCAGAGTATCAATGTTGACCGACCTTCAATTCGCAATGCTCTGTTTAGCACACGATAAAAACTATCTTTATCCACTTTTATGTAACGGTCCAGATTTGGCATTTTTGGTAAAATAGGTTTTAATGCGTCGTCAACTGTAACAAGAGAATCACTTCAGTAGCCATAAATAGGCGCAAGTCGTTTGTTTTCGAACTTTTTATCAGCGAATCAATTCGTCTTTATCAGAAACATTATTTGTAGTATATGATGAACGGTAACGTCATAGGCAGTAATTCTAAGGAATAAAAATTAGCATCATATCAGAATATATACTAATTTCGTGTACAACAGTTAAAGTATAATGAAACCTGTAATAAAATCCAATCGAATTGATATATCCCCTGTTTTACATTAACAAAAGACGATATGCCCCAATACGTTGTTTTGAGCTTTTCAAGATAAGTATGATTTTATCTCTTGAAATATACATCGGTAGACGCAATAACACTGTCTGGAACTCTTTCTTCAGGCACTCTTGTGGGATGTAAATATGAAATGGACTTTTCACTTTGATCATTATCGAGTATAACTGCATTTGCAAACTTTCGAAAAAAAACGACAAAGAGCCAGTCGAGGAGTGTGATTTTTCTTAGTGGAAAAGAAAGTACAATAAAAACTTTGATCATCATAGTCTCGATAGATGTAGATATCGTATTATACTAACAGGAAGGTACAATTAAATACTAAATGGTTATTTGAAGAAGAGATACGTTGTGTCAGTCAACAATATCGTGCCAGGCAAACGTAGTCAACTCCGTCCGTTAAATGCATGTGTTCCCCTATTTCACTGGAATAGTCGAACACTTGGATTCTACTCTGCAATTAACAGTCGAAAAATTCAACCGCTGCTCTGACAAGCAAATCCTTTGAAAAAACAAAAAACTTCTAACGTTCTGGCTTCTGAAAGCAGGCACGAAGAAAATAAGATAACTGTTAAAAAGTACTTATGGTGAGCATTCAAAATACGGCATTCTTCCAATTTAGCGAAGTATACTTGGTCAGTGGATGAAGTCATTGGATTGAAAGAAGATTTTCCGAAAGCAATGATGGCCAATCATTAGTAGAGCATTCGATGCAAAGTCTGATCAGCGCGATTAAATTTTTTATCACTTTCTGGCCGACCACAAAAAGAAACAGAACTACACAGAAACCATAAAGCATTGAATGATATTACGGTCGTTCACTGAAATGGAAGGGTGGAACCTTTGACTGTATGGTAGTGTACTGATTTAGTGAACACTGATTACACCTTGAAAAATGCTTTGATATAGTATTTTTTTATCACACAGTGGAAACAACAGTAAAACCTATTACATGTTACCTGACGTATCTCAATAGATTCTTTTATAGAAGACACCAATTCAGGAGCGAAAATGTTGACGACAGTTAGTGTTCATTTCTCTATATATCTGCCTCCCTTTTCTTTAGAATACAAATACAAGTAACGCTCGTCTAGAGACTCGCTCAGCTCTTTCTCGTAGAAATCGTGCTTTCAGATATTACACTTTAAAGCTATTATTGCGTGTATATTAATTTATTTTTACTGTACATTAGATATGTATACCAAATATCAAATTCAGAACCGGATATTCTAAGCAAGTATCAATACGATTAAGTAGATTATGAGTTATTACATGAAAAAAGAAAATAACAAAACACGGTAGGAAATATCTGCTACAATGAGAGAAAAGAAGCGATTACTACAACAATTAAGATTAATGTGAAGAAAGAGGTTAAAAAAAATGAACCTATACGAATAGTTATTTTAAGATAATTTGAAAAATCAATATACATTTTATATGTTTGTAATAACACTAAACTCTTAACAGCGTATCGATTTATACACGTTCAAAACGCGGAAGAGGTACATTCTCGTTTTGTCTTTTTGTTAAGTTTATCTAGACGTTTCAGTTCAGCGTCTTGAGCAAGAGAGGGTCGAACTTGTAAACAAGTAATAAATGTTTTTCTGAAAATCGGTATCCTTGATTTGAACAATTTTTTTAATTCCGAAAAAACCTAACATCAGATTCGAAGTCTCCGCACCGAAATACCTCTGGAAATATCTTTTCGGAAAAATCGATGTTTTTTTGACCCTGCAGACATACAAGCAAACAATTTATGTTTCTAAGACTCTTCTCTACGAGAAAGAGAAAATCGAATATCAAAATCAAGACAAAAAATATATAGCTGGTTGCGCCATTGCAACGAGTGTAATTAAGATTAAGAACCTCAAACTCGACGGCAATTTCTTCTGGCGCACCTTTGTTTTAAATCTCAGTCGATATGTAGTCTATTTGAAAGGAAATCTTTCTGATCCATTATAAGTATGCGTAAACTCCTTGCTCTTCTCTGCTGGAAAAAGAACACCATGTGACGTACAGTAGGATGTCATTGCTGTTAAACATGGTATAAAGCTAAACATATTCATTAAATTCGAATACGAATAGAAAAACGGCGGATATTGTGGATAGATCATTATAATCGGCTAGACAACAACAGCTTTTTACAAAGAGACAAGTGATTTGGTTTATGAAGTAAAACAAGCCTCTATGGTGTTTCACGTATGCTGAAAGATTTAGTTCTACCATTTTAGTATAAGATCAGGGAGTTCATAATGGGCGGACATTACTTATAAATGACATATGTATATTGAAATAAGTTTCAATGTGCATGTATTCGTTATCCTGAACTTGGTCTTCGTTTTTCTGGGAAATATTAGATCCAAACTCAAAATTCAACAAGATTTACTGTCAGAAGATGATGTTTTTGAGCATGAGCGCTGTATTCGGAACAAACGCGGCAGAGTTTTTTTTTCGTGTGTTAGGAGAAACTTCTGCAACTACTGAAAAGTAAAAAACATTAATTAATCTAAGCCTATTTGCCTCATTTTAACGATGACAATAAAAAGTGACTGTATACAGGATGCCGTATTGATAAACAATCGGAGACTAAATGTGCACAAATATCTTGATTAAAAGTAAAATCATTTGTACTTAGATGATGACACTTTG